TATGTGGAATAGAAGGAGAGGACGATCCAGAAAATGGACTGACCAAATTTACCAATCACCGGACTGACCTTGGAAGCAACAATAAATCTGGATGGAGATGAAGAATATCCGCTACTGTTAAAAATCGCTACTGTTAACCGAATCCAAATTTAGATCCCCGTGTTCTGAACAACCGCACCTCTTCTTTCTTATCTCCACTCAATCATATTAGGGTATCAAGCCTGTAGAGTTGACATCCATAATGATTGGGTGAATTAGAATGCGTCTTCTTTTGTCATTAGGTCTGGGAGCACTACTCAGTAGCAGGCTCCAATATGAAATAGCTGCCTCTGACTTGAAGAACAGACGCCACGTGGAGCCGCTCCTAAGGAGTACAGACGCTGCTCATCTTGTATCCCTATATCAGGATCCCTTACAGGGTACTATCAGCCGGGCCAGCTGAGCCCAGGTTTTTTGGCGAGCTTGTTACTTTTCCCCCTCCTCCTTTTTCATCTGGGCTTTGGACCGGCAAAGGCGGAGTTGTACCTCACTAGTTGACCGGCTAGTCGCCTCCCTTTCCCTAGGTGTGGCGAGGACCTGTGGAAATCGAAGCCGGTCAAAGGCACTATTTCTTTTAAAACCTTCACTCTGAACTAAATTTCAGTCATGCAATTTTACCACAGTCAAAAATCAATCTGTGCTTTATTATCTATCTTTAAAGCTTTTTTTTTAATTTCATAAATAAATGTTACCAGTTTTTAAAAAGACTAGGTGGTAAAAATTATAAATGCTGATGTAAAGGCCATCTATCGGTATGATCATAAATTAAACGTTAGCTCGCTTATTTCATGTACCTTTTTCTTGATAAATTAAGAAAAGCCAAGCATTTATGTGTTTCGGGCTGTTGTCACTCGTCAGCGTGGTGCAGGTTACCAAGGGGATCAGAGGCTCCTTGATAAATAAAACATACTTTCCCTAATTTTTTCCAAAAAATATTCTGCAAAATATATTTAAGAAAAAAATTATATTATAAATTTTAGTTGATATTTATTTTTATATACATTTTTTATTGTGCTTTGACATCAGCAATGCTCATTCGAGCGGTCAAGATACTTTTCAGTCACAAATCGACCTGCGCTCAAACAATGGCGTATGTAGGAGTGGGCATAGACATCCAAATTTTTTGGCAGAGAGTATGAAACATGCCGAATAATTGAATTATCATATCTCTCTCTGAAGTTTACAGAATATACATGTCTTTCTTTTCTTCTTCACTTTTGTTTTAATGATGCCGGTATATCTCGAAAGACTCAATATCTCAACTCCAGAGGATCCATTAATGTCGTGAAAACTACTTTTCTGATAAGTTCTTCCATTGAAAAGATGAGATCATACGATAATAGGGAAAGAAATCCAAAGGATGCTAGAGGAATCCGACATGATTATGGGCCGGAAATTCCTGGAAAATGAAATGTCCTTTGACCTTGGCTAGCAGCTGTCTAATGAAGACGTCGACGATCGCCATAAGATTGCCACCAGAGTGGTAGTCTGATGGCAAAATTCAATAATGTCAATCTAAAGCAATTATAGCTCTATTTATACATATATTTCCTTTATAACTCTTTGTACAAGTCTTTGTATATTTTAATTTCTTTCTCACTCTTTTTCCCCCTCTCATTTGCTGTATCTCTCAGGGGAATTTGGATACAAGACTAAAGATATTAATAAATAGAGAATACCATTATTGTAGGTTGGATTTATTATTACTTCAAGATGGAGACTCATAAGCCCTATAATTTTTATTATCCGACTTTTGGCGAATCAACTGTGGCTCTTTTCAAGGTGGAGACCGTTGAGCGTTTGACAAACTTAACTTTTCACCTTGACGACAGTGGGTCACCGAAACGTAATATATAAAATACGTTAAATATAAATTTCAGATGATGGTGTAAAAAACAGCGGAGGAAAAGACTACTGTGTATTTTAAAACTACAAAAGGGTGTTCAATTTTTTAAAGAACGATTTTGTAACACTGTAGCTCGCGAAAGAATCTGGCGCGATTCGAGTCATGTTTTGTTTATTAGAAAGAACAATAATTTATTTTTATAATTTCATAAAAAAAAACTATTTTTAAATGTTCGAAGTACCTAATAATGATATAAATGATTTTGTAAAATGTGACATTTTCAGACTTTCCGAGGAGAAATACTCGTTCACCTAAATTATAAAAAATATGAAAGAAAATGATATTGTTATTACTAAGGGCCCAATCAGTCAAATAATAAAGAAAAAATGTATACCTATGAATTTAAGTAAAAATAACTCTGAAAAGGTACCTGAAGAAACCTTTAAGGCCAACTTAAAGAAAGAAAATGGAAATGGTTTTCAGAGAGAATCTACCTTCTCAAAGGAACATTTATACAATAACCAATGCACCAATTTCTACAGTTAACCATATTACCAGGTAAAATTCAGCTTTAAAATACGTAAAAAGGCTAATGTTCAAGTTCTCAAGCCGCACCATATCGAGAGACGCAATACCTGCAGCAGGACCCTTTATGAAAAGTACCTGGCAGGTGAAAAATGAAATAATTTTATTACACTGTACGAGGCATGGGTTCACCTCAATGATAGCAACCAACCCCGTGCCATTTACTACGCTAACTCTCAAAACACCTTTCAAAACTGGGTCAAACAATCCAAAAAAGTTTCTCAAAGGGCTTCATGATCGTTGCAGGTTTCTGCTATAATGGGAAGCTTCTTATAAAGAAGGTGGACCTAAATGTCAAGATAAATTCGAAAATATACCAAAGACTTGTATTAGACATATTTTTCGATAATTTGGTCCCATTTTTTGTATCCAAGGGACTCAAGATCCTTGTAGCTGCACCAGGATAAAGCCACGAGTCAATACCTGGACGAAAAGAGGGATGAAACCGGCATTTCGTGCATCCCTTTTAAGTACATCCCTGCCAAATCCCCAGACTTAGCTTCTAAGGAAACCAAGCTTTCTGAAAACTGTTCTTAGATCTCGAAAACCGAAGACGCTAGATTATCTCTGGAAAGTCGTTACTGTTGGGATTGTACTAATCAAAATATTCTAAGACGAAGCCTTATTTCCTGGAAACATCTGTGCGAGGCTATTGCTAAACATCAAGGCTTACACATAGAGAACAATAAATTGTACAAGCGTTTGTAAATTATTTTTAACTCCATCTAAAAATTGGAACACCCTCTGTATATAAAAATAAAAGAAAAACTAATTTCTTTACTTCCACACTCTCGCATCAGAACATGCTGCTCCAATTTTGAAACTTGATTATTGAGACTATATGTATATTTCATTATTTTACCTCACTTATCGAACAAAATTTAGGATTAGGTTGGAAAACAACGGTATATAGAAATAACCGTTTTATTAATGAACCAAATGTTTGAGTTATCTATAGATTAACCGATTGTTGTTTTATTCAAAATAAATCTCTTATTGTTAACTTTTGATATCTGGCGGCACTCTCCTGGGAACACATCTCTGAAAAGAAGGTGTGTGGGTGCGGCAGAATCACGGGGTGGCCTCGGTCCAAGACGTCCATGTCATCGGCATCAGCCTCGGTGCTCATGCCGCAGGGTTCGCCGGCAAGAAGCTAGGCCCAGACCGCCTGGGTCGCATTACAGGTAGGTTCCTTCGTATAAGTGTTAGAACATGTTCGACAACACACGTTGTCGTGTGTCATCGTGTTTCATCACACTGCCCACACACAGGGAGAGAGTAGCCTTCCTGACAAAACAATCATTCTAAGACGTGTAGACTTTCTGAAAATAAATCTGGATCCAGGTTTTTTCAGCAGTAATATGAGGATAGAAGACTAGAAATTGTACAAAGGAGATTGATAGAAGACTAAATTCCTTTAAAAATGGTTCCACATGAAAGTATGCTTAAGGCTTTATGGCTGGACAAAATAACGAACGAAAATATCTGAAAAGAAGTAATGCCAACTTTACACTGTGGACACTGTGGAGTACAGACAGAACAAGAAATTTGATCTTTGCGAATCAAGTTATGAGAGCGAGAGTCAACTAAATATATTTTGGAAGGTACTTGACAGCAGGAAGTGTTCTAGAGGAAAACAACATGGACTGTCAGCACTGACGGATCATAGCATCACCTCAAGAGACTGGCTGATCGTGAAAATTAGCGAAAACTGACGGCCAACTTTTGAATCGAAAATGATACTTGGTGATAAAATAGAAAGAAATTATCAGTTACTTTTGACAAGTATACATGTTACAGGCCATAAATGCAAAGTGGAAGACCTGAGTGCTAAAATTATCGTAAAAATGGCATTCTTTTGTTGATTTAACTATTTAACGATATAGCTACTACTTTATATTCTAAATAGTATCGTTTGAAAATTTTTATTATTTAAAAAATATTATTTTGATATCTTGATGCATAAGAAAAATGCATTAAAATAAAAAAATATATTAAACGTTTATATTGTGTATAAATATATATAACTAGACGAATGACCCGGGTGTTGACGAATGTTTATTCAAACACTATTCGTTACAATTATAAATTGGCGCCGTGGATGTCACTCTTGTGAAACGTCCAGCTCCAAACTTTACAGTCAGATTAGTTACGATATAAATCTTCAAATCGAGCGAGCGTCTATAAATATTTCGATTTAGATCAAGTATTCTAATTAGTAAGCGAACTATTATTAATAAAAATTTGAAAAGGTTTCGATTTATAAACGTATTTATAACCTTGATAGAGGGCGCTGTTCGTGAGCTAAGTAGAATAATTTGAATACAGTCGAACTTGGATAATTCGAACCCCAAGGGACCATAAAAAAATTCGAATTATCCAAAAATTCGAATTAAAAACGGAAATTATATTTATAGGAAATTCTAGGGACCAAGATAAATATTCGAATTAAAGAAGTTCGAATTATCCAAGTTCTACTGTATATAGTTTTAATATTTAATTTATATATAATTTATGAACGGAAAAATATGTCAAGGGTAGCCTAGTGGCATGCGGTAAGCGGAAGGTCGTGGGTTCGATTCCCATCCCTTGACACTTTTTTTATTTTATTCATTCTGACCAAAATCTATCTGTGAACTTCACACAGTGAACTTCACACAGACAGAATAAGGCAATTATATTATAACTAGCCGAATGGCCCGGGCAACGCCCGGGTTTTACCCGAGTGCGTATATATTTTAAAAACGTTTTAATTCAAATACTATTCGTTACAATTATAAATTGGCGCCATGGATGTCACTCTTGTGAAACGTCCCGTTCCAAACTGTGTGTTTTTAAAATGTTTTAATTAAAATACCATTCGCTACAATTATAAATTGGCGCCGTGGATGTCTCTCTTGTGAAACGTCCCGCCCCAAACTGTGTGTGTCTTGAAAATATAAAAATAAAAATGTGAATTTTCATAAAGATTTCATCATGCATGGGTAGCCTAGTGGTCATGGCATCTGCCCGGTAAGCGGAAGGTCGTGGGTTCGATTCCCATCCCTTGACACTTTTTTATTTTATCCATTCTGACCAAAATCTATCCGTGAACTTCACACAGTGAACTTCACACAGACAGAATAAGGCAATTATATAAGTATTATAATAATAATTATCATTAGATAATGATAATGATCATAATGATGATGCGCGCGTTGACGACCAAAATCTATCCGTGAACTTCACACAGTGAACTTCACACAGACAGAATAAGGCAATTATATTAGTAGATAATTATTATCATTAGATAATGATAATGATCATAATGATGATGCGCGCGTTGATGACCAAAATCTATCCGTGAACTTCACACAGTGAGCTTCACACAGACAGAATAAGGCAATTATATAAGTAGATAATTATTATCATTAGATAATGATAATGATCATAATGATGATGCGCGCGTTGATGACCAAAATCTATCCGTGAACTTCACACAGTGAACTTCACACAGACAGAATAAGGCAATTATATAAGTAGATGTATATAAAAAATATATAAATAATAAATAAAATGTATATATGGTAATTTAACCAACAACCCCATATTGTATATAACTTATAACAAGATTTTCATGTTGTATAATAGAAACACATCTGTAAATGATTATACGCATGATTGACATGTGTCATTACATCATCATATGTAATGTAATTTGTACAAACTGAGGATAAATAAATAAAACTCTGTAATAGATTAATAGTTGAGCTAAAGAGATAGAAGTCAAAAACGTCTAAATTCGAGATAGATGGAAGTCACAAACAACATCTAAAGATAGATTGGAAGCTGTCAGGACGGCGCCAGTTTAGAATGTCACCAGACGATCCACACTCTTCACATCTGGTGAAATGCAAAACTCCCTTTCTCAGAAAAGGTATATAAAGCCCCCGTTTTGACCTAAAATTACAGTCAGTTCACCATCTGCATGAGCCCTCGTCGGTTGTACCCCAGGTCCATCTCATCCATCATGTAGACCAGTAAGAAATCTTCTATCTCTCCATCTTATCTCCTAGCTCAACTTTTATCTATTCACGGAACTTTCTTAGTGCAACTGTGTCTTCGTTTTTTTGTGTATGGACATGCCCAAGCTTTCCACTCTGCCTCGACCACGACTGCCTGTACTTTGTGAGAACTGTAAAAGGTCTTCCAAGGTGCAGAGAGGTACTGGAAAACTCCCCGTCCTGACTGTTCCTCTCGGTTAACACAGTATAGCGAGAGTCGACAGGGAACACACCATAGATTAAGTCGACTGGATACCTCATCACAGTTTTAGTCGACAAGATTCTACGAGAGTTTACAGAACTTCACCACCACATATATATATAATGTATATAAATGCCTATTAAAAATGCATATACTTCTTATACAAAAACAACTTTCAGTCGATATTAGTAGCATGAACAGGAGATACTCTTTTTTAGCCATCTATAAACTCTCCTATTGACATTACGATAGATAAAGAGTGTCCCTATATATATATATCCTTGCCTTCCATATGATCATGCAAAGGCAGGTTATTCTACTTTATATTTTTCAGACGCGCTAGAATCCGGTTTATAAATCGTTTAAGAACAGCTTCAAGCAACGTCAACAAAGATATCGTGAAATAATGCAAAGATAATAAATAAACCCAACTCTGACTCAAGTATTTTCAAATGAAGGTCTCGTGTTCACAGCCCCACGTTCATTGAACTATGGCTTCTAAAGAACTCAACAAGAGAGTCAGGGAAAGACCTTGGACGCCTCAAGATCCACGGAATGGAGTTTCTGATGAAGCAATCTCCGTTTTTGCGCAGCCTCCCTTTCGATGGCTCTGATTCCACGCTCCACATCCTACCTCGTGTTGGTTGGGTTATCTCTGACCCAGGCCATGAGATCTCCATCAGCTTATGTAACTTGCATTCCCTTCTTTTATTGACGAACCCCATTTACATATTTACAAGTTTTCCACCAAATTTCATATATGGTGATTTTTAATGTAAATATGTATAAAGGTGGGTAATTTTCTTTCGCTTTAATAATATATCCTCCTTCTGTGTCCCCTTTGTGTCTGTTGTATGTAAAACAATGTTAGTCGAATAGAGAGACCACAGAATGCCACAACTCCCGGAAGAGACGGCGATTTTAGACTCTGTAAACCTGAAATGGACAGCAGTGATTGACAGTTTGTAAAGATTGACACAGAAGTAAAAGATAATTATCGAAGGAGTCAAAGGACTGAAATCAACGAAGAAGATGTCGATATCATCTCGGTGATTCGAAATGGAAAAGCTTCCATAGCAGAAATTCTGGATTGCAACACACACAAGATTTAAAAAATAATTATTACCTTAGTGTAACGAAGATTCTTTAATGATTATCCTTGATAAATAATCCTTAATGGACTTCACCAGAATGGGTTCGTATCCAGAATGAGATGATATGCTGATAGTTAGATATTTAAATTGGAAGAGACAGTCAAATCGGGCGCGTGTCAAAATACCAACAGGCCAAAATACAGCCAGGGACGAAAAATCCCGACAAATTAAATTAGAAATGAAAAAGCAAAAAAAAAAAGGTTATATAAAAACCCATAAAAACTCAAGTCGGGCATTTAACTTGAACCTATAAGCGACATTGTTTCCGTTCCAAATTGACTAAATACAATACAATTTTCTATGATATGAAGCCTGTATTTATTTCATTCTATCGGGATTTTGGTCTGTCGAGATTTCGTATGTTGGGATTTTGTCCAGAACCCAAGGCAGCTCATATAGGTTGATCACAGAAGGTGGCATGCCTGATCGGAGAGAGCTGAAGAAATGGAGGTGCTACTGTAACACAGTGAAACACTTTATGAGAGTCCATAGGCTAAAAACATGGATAGGAATCTTGAAGGTGGTCTTTCATTGGAGGCTGGGATAGAACAAAGCTCAAGGTATCATCAGATGGGGTTCTCATGGCAACTTTTACTGTAGTTCCTTTATAAGGTGGTGTTGATGTCCGCAAGGACACAGTTTCGAAACAGAAATCACATATGAGGTCATTGTTTCCAAACAGAAATCAAGATAAAGGTCATTTAAAATACAATATAACGCGGCTGATGATTGTAAAACGAAAATTGAAATTATACCGCGAATGTTTCTTTTATAAAAATCGAAATTTATTTTCAAAGAGAAATAGCGACATTTCTAACTTTGAGGATGAGGTATGGAAAGGTGAAACATGAAGAGTAATGGCGAACGGAAAAATAATTCCCGCCCCTGGACACTTTTTATTTTTCCGTTCGCCATTACTCTTCATGTTTCACCTTTCCATACCTCATCCTCAAAGTTAGAAATGTCGCTATTTCTCTTTGAAAATAAATTTCGATTTTTATAAAAGAAACATTCGCGGTATAATTTCAATTTTCGTTTTATAAAGGTCATTGTTTCCAAACTCGGAAAAAATAGTCTTAAATAATTTATTTTTAAAATGTTTTCAAGATTTATAATATAAATATCTGATATGAAAACTCACTACGAGTTTTTTTTTTTTATAGAACAAACAAAATCATTTTATTACGAGCTTATCTAGATAAGCCCATAGAAAAGAGAGACTTTGCTCGAGCGATTGCTTGTTTGTTGTTGTTGTTGTTGTCGTGTCCAAAGAAGAGTCTCGGATGTCTCCATGCATCTCCATCACAGCAGCAGCAGTATCCACTATCTTGGGTGTGTAAAGCTGCTGCTCTGGGTCTAAGTCGATTTTCTGCAAGGCTGCGGCCATTGCTGGGCATGAGAATATGTGAGTAGGTGTTAGTTCCACACCAGGACAATTGTTGCACGCTTTATAAGTTCTTGTGCCGTCTGGATGTATTGTCATTCCTTTATGGTGTTTTGTTCTAAGTCTTGTTATGGTTTTTGTCAGTTTTCTCTCAGAGTTTATTTCACATATTTGATCTTTTCTTATTTTTTGTTTGATTATCTTGTATTTTGCGAAAGCATCAGCGTCAAATACTGACATTTGTTCTTTCCTTTGGCTCAGCTTTCTGGCTTCCTTTGCCAATTCATCTGCCATTTCATTACCCTCGATCCCAACATGGGCAGGAATCCATTGTAGAATGCAGTTCTTCTCCAATGTTTCCAGTTGGGTAAGTAATGAGTGTATTTTCTGCGTGATTCTAGTATTGCCCTTCTGAATTGCTTCTAGAGCGGATCTGGAGTCGCTGTATATTATGATTCCTTCTGCTTGATGCAGGGATGGTTGGTTCAGGCATACATCAAGGGCTTTCCAGATAGCTGTCAGTTCACAAGTGAAGTTTGACGAAATCTTTCCTGCTCCTTCTTTGATTTTGATGTGTGTTCCATCTTGGAGTATTATGTTAATTCCGGCCCCTCCATTACTCAGAGTAAGGTCTGATGATCCATCATCATGCTAATAAATAATTTTTCTGATCATATAAATCAATTGTATCAAGTCCCTTCTTTTTAAGTATGGTTTTGTTCTCTTTTTTGTTGCAGGGTTCGTTCAGGTTGAGATTGATGATTATATTTGAAGGTAATGTGGTAGGAAATGTTGGTTCTTCTTTATTTTGA